TACATATTTTTACTCAAATAGCATTTCCTTCTAGGTGCATTCAGGCTAAATTGGACAAAAATGCTATGTATGTCAAAGATAAAGTAAAATCCATTTGAAGTACCTCAAATTTCCACAGATTCAATTTTATTGTGGACTGATTACATGCTTTAGCAACAGATTCACTAAAATGTGTATCTTGATATATATATTTCTCACTATATAGAGAAAGCAAACCAATAGAGTCAAAGGAATCCACAAGATTTATGACATTTACTTTTTACCTAGGTTTTTAATGAAAGCATGGTTTGAGAATGAAAGTTTCAATATTAGAATACGAATAGATAATTGAAATGATTGTGTACTTTTACAATGAATTTTTAAAAATAAGTCCAATTCATCTATTATGTCAACCTCAGAATCCAATCTTACTCATTTATTATAAAGTAGAATTTAACGTATAAAAAGACTCAAAAAGATACCAAAGGAGTTAGTATGATGAAATATATCATCTTGAAACTTGAAAAAGCTGGTTACACTCTATAATTATTTTCCTTGTGACTAAAGCTACACTTGAGTCTTCTCAAGAGAATTAAAAAATTACCAAATGATAATCTCTTAAAACTATTTCAAAAGTCAATTCTATAGAAGTCTTCAGTTGATTTTTACTATATTGCCATTGGAAAGTAAAATTTAAAACTCTCACAGCTACTTATATATATAATTTATTGACAAAACCTTTTAAAATACAAAATGTTTGAAATTTAAACAAAGTGGTATACATTATTTTGTTTATATATGCAAATGATTATACATCTTTTATGATATGAGATAAAAAATCGCCATAAGTAAAAAATAAATACAAAAATAATGAACTTTTGATGTTACTGTACCTACCTTTAGTGAACTATAATGTCCAACCAAATGTTGCATTTATCCATATCTGAGTGAGGATCACCAGGAATTCTATGTGATACTGTTCAACATTTCCATCCAGGTCATAGGTCACATATTTCCCTTTAAAAGGATCAGGGCAAAGAATACTGGCCAACTTTAAAAAAGAAATTTAAAAAATTATTTCAATGCCTTTAAAAAAGGCAGATGTCAACACATCTGTCAAAATTATATATTTAAAATTCTTCTTTAATATTCTTTTTCGTTTGGGGGAATGTTTTGTTGTTTTATTTAATAAACTAAAAACATATTTCTTATATATTTTAAAACATTAAAGCATTCATTTGATATATAAATAGTAAGTGTGTATCTTTGTAGCTGCAGAAAGCTCAAAATAGTCACAAATTTAAGGTATAGATTAGATAAAAGAGGGAAAGAATTGTAAAATGAACGATCTCCAGAATCAATAGTGATACAGGTACTGCTGAGAGGAAGATAAGAGGAAAACGGTTGTCAAATCTATCTAATAAGACCCACATAGCTACAGAGATTTGCTTTTTGACAAAGGAGCCCAAAACATGCATTGAAGAAAAAATAGCTTCTTCAACAAATGGTGCTGGGAAAACTGGATATCCACTGTAGAGGACTGAAACTAAATCGCAGTCTCTCACCTTGTACTCTTATCAATCAAAGTGAATGAAAGATCTTAATGTAAGATCTGAAACTGTGAAACTACTACAGCAAAGAATAGGGAAAACACTGGAACTAGTGGATAGGTGATAACTTCCTGTATATTAAGTATAATTGCTCAGTAATTAAGAGAAAGGATTGAGAAATGAGACTACATCAAACTAAAAGCTTTTTTCTCAGTAAAGGAAACTCACTACACTAAAAAGACAGTTTATATAACAGGAGAAAATCTATTTGCCAGCTATACATCTGACAAGGGATTAATAATCAAAATAAACAGGGAGCTCAAAAAAACTATCGCTCAAAGAATCAACAACCCAATAAGTAAATGGGCAAAGGATCAAACAGACAATTCTAAAAAAAAAAAGATAATAAGAACACAAAATGGCCAATTAATACATGAAGAAAATGCTCAACATTCTTGGCCATAAAGGAAATAAAAAATCAAAGTGATATTGAATCTAATACACAAATAGGGCAGACATTTGTAAGCCAAGGAAAGAGCCTTTAGGAGAATTCAATTCTGCTGACACCTTGATCTTAGGACATTGAGCCCCATCAGAAAATAATTTCTATTGTTTAAGCCACCCAGTCCATAGTATTTTGTTATGGCAATTCTAGTAAACTAAAACAATTATATACATGTATGGCAACTGGTAAAACTGAAAAGAAGAATGATACAAAAATATTTTCCTCTTATTAATTAAAATTAGATATTTAGATAATTTTAAAAACCTAAGTAATGAATCATGCTATAAAGAATCTGAAATCACAAAAATAAAGGAATCAATAAATTAAATTGAATGAATTTGAGGACTGAAGACTTTTATATTCTACTAAATAATCAATATCAATTGGGCACAAGACTATTAATTTTAAACTTATTACTCTAAATATAGAGATAACTCTTAGAAGGATTAAATGCTAATGAAAATTTTCTGTTCATTATTTTAAACATGTTAAATTACAGAAAATATTGCATGTTGATCTAAAGATGAATTGTGAAAAGTACTGTCACATGTTCATATAACTGGAGCACTTTAGTATTACTTCAGGTGGCAGAAAGGAATTGCGTCAAACCTAGTCCATATCTCACCTAAAATGAGTGTAGCAAACTAAGGGAAAGGCTGAACTGCAGAAACAAGAGAAGCAAAAATGATACTCATTTCTTAACCTCCAGTTTGAATTCAAACACTGTTTACCATGATATTAAATTCTGCTTCTCTACCTCCCCATTTTTCATTTTCAGATGGAAGGAACTTTCTGAAGTATTTTCTAAGTGACTTAGAAGAGTAGAGAGTAAGAATAGGCAATCCAATGGAAAGGTATCAGAATTGAAAGCATATGATCGATTTTAGAATCTGTGTGTGGCAGAAAGTCAAATGGACTGAACAAGGTAAAATAGACAACAGGTGTTGAAATTAATCAAGAGGAAATGGAAAATGCTGGTAGAACAAATAACCTCAGGGAAAATGCAAATATATCATGAAAAGCTAATGTTTTGCACATGTTTCTAGTTGAAATGATTTTTTAATAAGAAAATTAGTACTGCCAGCAGAAGTTGAAGCTTAAGAATAGTTTCAGTTGTCATGAATTAGCATCCAATTAAAATATATTACTATCATTGTCTAATTGTATTTTGGATGTTTAAAAGAGAGCAAACCTTACTTGGAACTTATTCATAAGTTGTTGCAAACAAAATGAATGAGGTGGAATCATCACTAACTGAATGGTCTATCTGCCAGGAAACCTCTGGGATGTACCGAATCTTCTCTCCCTAAAACCTCCTCTCCCCTGTTAGTGAGAGGAGGTTCCCAATAAACAGACTACACATTAATTTCTATGTGAAATTATACAAAAATAAGAAATGATTAGTTAACAATTTATAATACTGAAAGGATCTAGAAAAAATTTCATTCTATATTTTAATATATATTTAAATTGGTATACTAAATATATTATACTGGATTGCTTTATTAACATGAAGGCATATTTTATTACCAAACTACAGGACTACAGTACATTAGGATGCAAATATATTTTCTATAAATGAATTTTAGTATTTATAAAAAAGCTTTGTTGCACAGCTATGTAAATATACTCAAAATAGTTACCATAAATAGAGCCTAATTTCTACTTGGCAGTGTATTTTCTTGAACTAGGTAAGAGATACACTGTTATTTTTTCCCTTTTAACTTCTAGACTCTTTCTAGTTGAATATAATACTATTTGATCAATTGTTAATGTGCAAGGTTGCTTAAACATTGTGGAGATAGCTTTCATCTTCTTAACATTTACAACAATTCTACCCCCAAGTATACAGAAACATAACTCAGTCATACACACACACACACACACACACACACACACACACACACACACACACTTCTACCACTTAAATCGTACCCCTCAGTCCTTTTTGCTTTGCCCTGGTTGGTCTCAGACCACCATCCTCCTACCTCCACCTCTTAAGTAACTGGGATTATAGGCATGCACCATCATATCTAGCTATGTATTTGTATAAGTACATAAATGTATGCTGTGCTACAATGTGGAAATTAACTATTATGATTTGATTCCCCATGGAGCTTGTCCATAGACAAAGAAAGCACTATTCTCTTGAGAATTATTTGCTTTTATTATATAAAGATTAAATAGCTGCAAGGCCCTAAGTTCAAACCCCAGTACTGCTCAAAAAGAAAAGAAATGCTAGAAAGACTAAATAGTATTTCTCAATTCTATAACAGTTTCTTTTTATGAAGGGTCAACTCTTCTAAGAATAACTCTGAGATCTTTACAAGGTTGAGTTTCTGAGCCTTAAAAACTGGATGTAAGGGGTAATGAGAATTGACCCAGATAGTACTACACTGCTAAGTAGTTCTGCAGCTAGCAGCTAGTCTTTCCACTTGAAATTTAAGGATCTATAACATTGTTTAATGAAGATCCGATGCATGACTGTTATTTATAGGTTAATTCTATCTATGTTTTACTACTTATCCTATTGTTATCTTTCTATGCATTTGTACTACTGAATAAGCAGTATCAGCAGATTTGAGTTTCTCTATTTGAATTTTAAATTTGTCCTCTAATTCTGAAAAAGGAACATAAGTGATTACTTAGTCAAATTCATCCTACTCTCCAATAAATAAGAAGGTAATTACATCTGTATTTTTCAGGCTTGTTTTGGTCCTACTCATAAATGAGAGAGAATTTTGGGCCTGGAATAAAACATGTTTTATTTCTAAGCTTAAGTTCTAAGCCTCAATAACCAGTACAAAAGTTCAAAAGAAATTCCTAGTGATATTTCTAACAGTTTTTCTGATATATTGACAAACACAAATCCTTTTCTTGGATTCGTTATTAAAATTCAGAATTTCCATTTGGGAATACTAACACTCTACTTTCAAAATGTTTATTTTAGATATGAAATGATATAGTACTATAAATTCCTTCATAAATAACTTCATGAATGTCCATACTCATGTTTCTATCTTAGAATATTTCTTGTACAAGTTACTTAAGATAATGTCCATATTAATTGTTACATGTGACTCAATTAATGTTTTACAACATTATCACATTTGATTCCTAGAAAAGCCCTCACCAACAAAAAGCACATTTCCAAAAGACTTCATACCTTTGCTAAGATAATATGTATATTAGTTTGCTAGAGCTGTCATAACAAAATACCATAGATAGGGTGGGTTAAGCAACAGAAACTTCATCATAGTTCCGGAGGCTTGAAGTTAAAGATCAATGTGTCAATACTTTTGGTTTCTTTTGAGGTCTCTCTCCTTGGTTTCCAGATGTCCATCTTTTTGCTGTGTCCTCACATGGTCTTTTCTCTCTGCAAATGCATTCCTAATATTTCTTTGTATAATGGATTAAGGTCTACCCTAATAGTTTCATTTGAACTTAATCATCTCTTTAAAGGCCTGGCATCTAAATATAGTCACATTCTGAGGTACAAGGAGTTAGGGATTCATCGTATGAATTTTTATGGAAAAGAATATATCCCACAACAGTTAGACAGCAAGAATATGAATCTAGGTATTGACCTGAAGGACTTTAATGTATATGTATATGTCAGAATAACCCAATCATAGTTCCTCTATTAAAGTAAACATCTTATCTTCTTCATAGAGAAGAAAATAAGATAATGAACCAAAACATCCCAGTCTTGAGAATTTATGCTGGAGAATATAATGTAAAATTGTTAGGGATTCTGGACACATAGCAGTAATGATGTTGCAGTTTTAGAATATCCTGGAATTTCCCCATAAATACAGGTAGAGCAAATACAATAGAAATGCCATACCAGAAACACAACATTTATAATAAATTTAGTGATAAGCCATTTAGTAAACCCTAAAATAGGACTAGTAGGTACAAATTACTGACAATAAAAAGACCTATATAATATTAGCACCTGTGTGAGAGAAAGGAGGGTGATTAGAATTCATCCAG